CCCCCCCCGTATCTCCGAAACCACTTTTCAACTCAAGCTGAAATTTTTACCAGAGACTTAGGGCATCATATGCAACAATTTGGCGCAATTCCCGTTTGCAAAATCGAGGGCCTAAAAAGGGGCGAATTTCGACCCATTTTTAACAAGGCTCTTTTCGTACAAGTTTGACCCCATAATCTCAAAATCGAAAGAGATATTCCAGGTCTGAATTTTCAAGATTTGAATGCCTAGGCTTTAGAGAAACTTAGTTTAAGTGTTCGGAAAAAGATTTGGAAAATTGTCGCCCAGATGGTAAATTCCCTTTTCACGAATTCGGTCGCAAATATATTTTCGAAACATGTTGGTAGAGGCTGCATACAAATTTAAGTAACAAAATAAGCAAGAGATCCGCAAGCCTTAATAACTTTCATTTTATCTTCGGAGAAACTGCTTAAATGGTGCAAAGTTTTCCGGTTTTATGCAGTGGCGAAGCTTTTCGGCCCGGATCAGGCCATCGAAAACCGAAAAAATTTGCACCATGTAAGCATTTCCTCCGAAAATAAAATGAAAGGTATCGAGGCTACGCATCCTTTTATTCTTTTATTATAAATCAAAAGTCGGTTGCCAAAGTGCTGAACGCCACGCCACGTAGCGCCATTTGCGGCATTGCAGACCTCCTATCATATTATGTTTTCCATTGAAAAGTAATTCACTAATATCTCAGAAACTTTCTTTGATTTTTCCTCTCGGCCGGCAGAAACGTTCGTACAAAGTTCAAGCTAAAGTATTGGTTTTGTGTCTCTTCGAGCAAATGAAATAGGTGTGGAAATTTTGAAACACAGTAATGGAGGTAACTGGCTCCACACTTTAGCTACTCTGCCGGATGATCATTCGAGAGTTGCCAAATTTCCCTTGATACAAGGTTCATGTTTGACGGCATCGGTGCACATTTTTCCCCGAAATTTTCTGGCATTTTAGACTAAATTGCATATAAAATTGTCGGAAAGTTTCGGAAAAAAATATTCACAATTTTCCCTGTAAATTCGGTTTTTCTCGAAGGAAACTTGACAACGTCTGACGGCTCAGACGGCATTCTTCCTCAGCACGGCAGTATTGTCTCGGATAGCTTTTGAATCATTATGCTCGATCGCGCCGCACAGTGGATTGAGTCAATTAGAGAGGTCGGACATGACATTTTTGACTGAAACCGCAAAATTTGATGTTTATTTCGGCACATTTTAAATTTTAAGGGGTGCTCGCAGAAGAAAATTTTACGAAGAAACCAATAAAGCCACTTTTAGGACATCAAAGGTTTGTATAAACAGAGTTATGAGCTTTTAAAGTTTCCCAATTTTGTCCGACCTCTCCTATTGACTCGATCCACTGTGCGCCGTCGCGTAGTCGATTTTGCGCGGGCAATGCCACGCCGCGCACCGCCTGTGAAACCGCGGCCTAAAGCGCTCCCAGCTCGAGGAGTCGGGAGAGTTTTCCTGGATCCACGTAAGCTCTGGATAGAGAGGGAATGCGAGTCATCACTTTGACGACTCCTCCGCTGTTTTTTCCGTCACCTGTTTAATTGTAAGAGCTTCACTCAAATTCTCCGCGGCAAGCGTGGGCTCGCGGTGCCTCTTTCAATTATCGTCGTTCCTTCACGGAAAGGGAGTACCTCCATTTTAACTTTAGCCCTGACAAGTGTGGAATTATACGGAAGACGGGGCTTATCTCGTTACGCTCTTACTTCAGAGGAGCGACCTTATAGCAGCGTCGTAAAACGGAGTGGGGAGGCTTTTACGGTGCGTGGCATTTTCCAAACACCTATTTTTTTTCGAACGTATTCTCCTTTCAAACACCTTCGTTTCTCGAGCACCCACGCTTTTTGAACACCTCTGTTCCTCAAAGCTGTTCTCCGCTTCCTCTAAGTGTTTATAATTTCGAAAATGTAGGTGCTTACACACCTCCCGAAGAAGTTAACGTCAATTTCCTCTGTCATTTACATTCAATTAGTGTGCATACTTACGGTTGTATTATACTAGATTTTTATTGAGATTATATACGTTCAGGAATACACACTATCTAATTGAGTCTGCAGTAGAGGCTTCTGGTTTTATTGTTGACACGCAAAGTCTTTCAAAGAACAATGTTTAAATTTCTACTATAGTCTTCAACACGAAAAGAGGCGGCTGAGAGGCGAAGTCAGATGAGCGGTACGATAGATTATCTAAGGATCAGAAGCGGATCCAGCAATTTGGCAACACCGGATTTAAACCTATGTTACATAATCGATTCTTGTCGAAACCCTGGCCCCTCCAAGAATCGATACATTTCCATGGGTTAAAATGGAGAGAAAACGATGTTACCAATTTACTGCATGACAACGGGTAATTTTGACCCGAAAAAAGCGCAGCTGCAGTTAAAACTTACATACACCAATATGAGTGTGCGAGAGGTTTATGCTTTTTTTATACATATCAAAATCAGATCACTTTCAGAGATTACCGCAAAAATAATGTACTTCTAATAGCTTCAACTCGCAAACGCATCAAATTCAAATCATTGCAAGCAATGTAACCTGCCCACGCACATAGAATATAGCGCCTTCAACATCGAAGAAATACTTCCAACGCTACACCGTTTTACACATGCTATCTGATGTGCAAATTGCCTATACTACGTCCCGGAGACATCGTGTTTCGAGGTGCACTTTATGGGAGACGCTATTGCGAGCCTTCCTGCAAGCTGTTGAGCGTCCTCGGTGCCGCCAAATTTCGCAGATTAATGAATCTTTTAGACAATGAAAGCTCTTGCATATGTCTGGGATTTGCGATTTAAGTACTTCTTCTTGATTTTTTCGCAAAAAACACGATGGTGTTTCCATGTGTTAAATTGAGAAAAACAATGTTGCCAATTTGCTGGATCAGCCAATGCTAAGGGCTGGTTGACTTCGTCGAGCCCGGGTCCATTGCATGTGTCAATGTACCTGCATTTCAACCCCTAAACAATTGATAACTATAACTCCACCTCTTAGCCGCCATTTTTCATGTCGTAGGAGTCAACAACACGAAAAAAGGTGGCTGAGAGGCGGAGTTAGTGACTAGTTTGTTGCGTATTTTAAGGGCTGAGACTCGGGCACATTAGCACACTCAAAGGATCCAGGCTCCTCGAAGCCTATCAAACTTTAGATAGTAGATCGAGCCGCCCCCTTTTCATGTCGTAGACCTATCATTGTGGTGTCGCGACGTTTTACCTACACATATACCTACGTGACATTGTACCTACACCTTTTGACATACAGACTATTGACCAACAACAATTTTTACATACAGTATTTTTGACCTAGAAGAAATTTGACCTACAAGTGACCTATACAGCTTGACCTATCCACAAAACACCCTTTTCAGGTACTTACAAACAGATCATCGAGGAAATCCAACGTAAAAAGTACAAAACACACATCATCACTATTTCATCCATTTGTAGGTCAAATACTAGTATGTCAAATTGCTTCTAGGTCAAAAAATCATCGTAGGGTCTATACTACTACTACTCTACTTTTCTTCCGCCTTAGCCTAAATGGGTTCGGAATGGTTTGATTTACAATAAAGTGACTTAGTTAGCCTCCATTAGCTGCTTACCTCACGCTTAGCTCGTAGCGCTTCTTCTTCCGTTTGACGTGTGGTAGTTTTGGGTGGGTGACCACCTTACTCGGTCCGGCGGGGCTCTAATGGCTCCCGTTGGTGTGTTCACAGAGTCTGGAATGAGGACGCTCGGGCCGCTGGCATGTTTCTAGGGGGCGTGGCCCACCGGCGGCTCCTCCTCTGGCGGCTCCTCCTCCCGCTCCTGCAGCTCGTCTGGGTCTGGGCGCCCGGCGTGAGCGTCCTCCAGCCCCCGGCTCCGCCCTCGGCCACGCCTCCGGCCACGCCCCCGGCCACGCCCACGTGCCTCCGGGTCCGCCTGCCCACCCTCGTCACGCCCCACCATGCGTCCTCGTCCACGCCCACCCAAGTGCCTCAGAACAAGTTCGTCTCCGTCGGGGTGGCCGGCGGCAACCGCTACGTCGTCGTCCTCCACCGGGTCCAGAACCTGACCAGCCTCTTCGTGCCCGCCCTCAACAGGTTCTCCTACTCCTCCAGCATCGCCGAGATCGGAGTCTGGCTCCCCCTTTCCGGATGCTACTCCAAAAGATGGATGTACCTCAACACCTTCGAGTCTCGCAATATTCCGTAAGTCCGCGCTTTTCATCATCTTAAGGTTCCGCCGTTGGGTGGCAGCCTCGGTAAAAACAACATGTAGCTCTTTCGTAAAAAGGGAGGGAGGTTTTAGAGGCAACAGAGATGGACTTCCGGCGTAGATCCGCTGGTATTTCCAGAAAGGACCGCGTCAGGAATGAGACGATGGTCTTCTTGGCATCCATGATCTCCCTCATGGATGCCAAGCAGACCATCGTGCATGACATTGTGACAAAACAACTCATTTGGTATGGTCATGTCCAGAGAATGGCAGGAGACAGGTTGCCGAAGAAGGTCCTTGATTGGGTTCCTCCTGAGAGAAGACGCAGAAGGCGCCTAATGAAAGGTTGGAGGGAGGGGATTGAAGCGGAAATGTTAAGGTGCCCCAAGATTTGTGGTTTGAAAGAGGGCAGTGGAGGTTAGAAGTCGTAGAGCGCGAGGAAGTGCTGTAAAGCAACTTATATGTATGTATGTATGTAGCTCTTTCGTTTTGGAACAGCTCTGATACGGAAGTCGGTGCCAAATCAGTGTCAGTAAGACTAAAACCAGTAAAAAAGACGCTGATGTCAGCCATGGACAGAACTAATTAAATGAGTTTTTTAAAAGCTCAGAAAGACACCTCGCCGAGAGGGGGTCCACGGGGACTTGCCTAACTCAAAGAAGCAATTTGGGGGCCCCTGAAGATATATTGAAAATTGAGACACCTTTGGAGTAGTTTTAAGCTGTTCCTAATTGAAAATTTTAGTTGAGAAAAATGATGGTTTAGAAAATGATACATCACGTAAAATCCTATTAATTTTTTGAATAGGGCCGATTTTGAATCGGGAGGGGGGCGCGCCCCCGCGGCGTGCTGCCAAAGCAGAAAGCACACTGGCGCCTACAAACCTAAGGGGATACGTCACGCATTGCGCAATGCTTGAAGTATCCCGTTAGGTTTGTAGGCGCCAATGCGCTGGCCAGGCCGGCCGTCCGCCGCGCCACAGCGTGCCATGGCGCCTCAAGCAACTATTTCACAACAGAGGAGGTGTTGCACAGTATCCTACGAAGTTGAAGGCGCTCCCACCCGGGCGGGAGACCTCTCGCCGGCTCCAGACCCTCATTAAAGATCCATCCATAATTTGGATTACATTTTGCAACAAGGAACCATTATCTCCGGCTCTTCCATAAAATCACCTTTCTGCACAGAGAAATCAATGGCATATATGTTGTTTCTAAAATGAGCCAGAAATAGTGCTTCCGTATCGCAAAATGTGGTCCTTCACGTAATCTTGATCTGTTAGTGTCAGTCCTGTGCTTATGTATACTGATCCTGAGCCTAATCATACTTGGTTTGAGATCAATGCTTCGATCTCGGCACTGAAAATGCACCCATTAGGCTTAATATCTACTTTATTTTCATTGCTCTAAGTCTTCGGTCTACTCAAGTGTAATTTGATGTAAAACTCAGTGTCAGATCTATTCAAAAGGCAGATGTTTTTACGATTTTTTATGCACCCGAGACATTCTCAAAAGCTCATTTTTTTCAAATTATTTTTGAATTTGAAGTAGATTCCGACTACTTTAGGGGTCGTCTGTAAATTAGGTAACGCACCAGGGGGGAGGGGGGTTACGCCATTTTGTTTTTACATGCTAAGGGATATAGACCTACGTCACAAAAGCGTCATAAGGGGAGAGGGTAAAAAATGCCGAAAAGTTGCAACACGTAATTTATGAGCGCTCTCCTATGATAATTCAGGCAGCAATTAAAATTAAATTAATGATGAAATTAAGCACTCTGCTTTTACAGATAGACGTCTTCCAATTCTTGCTGAGTTACAACATTCAAAATTACTTGAGAAGGGCCTGCATCATCACACGTTCCACTAAAAATATGACTTTTTCAAACTCCTTTGAAAGAGCAAAGTTGCAACTCCAGCAACCGTTTCAGTCGACCTCCGATGTAATTCCTCGCTTTAATTTGAAAATACCTCAGTCGTGTGGATTCACTCCACTCCAATTTAATGATGCTTTCATCTCAAATCCCAAAGACCCAGAATGTTAATGAGCTAAACTCCGAAAACCTTATCAAAGACTTGCTGTTAGTTAACTCGTGACTGTAATCACAATAATTATGTCGCCATCCTAACGAGTCAAGATACACGTCATAGCCGCCGCCAAAGCAAACAGTCCTCTCATCCGTAAATAGTTTTGATTAGAGTTAAGAAGATACGTACAGAGATTGAGGATGGAAAATGTAACATACTCTGGGAAAATAGCGGTCGATCTGAAGGCGAGCCCACTTAACTATAGCTGAAAAAATTAAGGAAAATCTAACATACTCCGGGCGAATTTCGGTCTTTCTGAAGGCGAGCCCACTTAACTAGCTGAAAAACTTCAATTAAATTATCTAGAGGCAAATAATATAATAACCATGACTTCATAATCTTTTTTTATTAAACTTTTTAATTTCAGAAATAGTTGGACAGCTTCATTAGAGTCAGTCACTCGCGTTATCTAATTTCGGTAGGCGATAGACTCAAAGTTCGCCTGAGTGGTTCTTAAGTTCATGCTTAATGATTTTATAGAAAATTCATAGAACGTTCCTAGGGATCATGTTGCGTAGTTTTTGGTTATAAAATTGAAGATGAGAAAATTGGAGTAGAATGGAGAAAGGCTGATTGTGGTTGAAGCTGTATGGCTACCTTTGATTTATAAAAAAATCACGATACATTTATCTTAACTCACAGTACAAAGGTACAGACATATAATTTTTACGATGTTTTACGATAAATTGAAACCTGCCTAATAATTTAGACTCTTATTCTAAGAAGCTTTAAAATTTTTACTCTGAAACCCCTCTTACAGCCGAGCACTTCATCAGAGGTTCTCTCTTCCTTTTCCTTTTCAAATTCTTTTGATCGACGTAGAAAATTATTCAGGACAGAGTTCTTCTAAAAGTACTTTAAAGGGCTGAGCCGTCCGTTAAATAAATCGGGGAAAGTTAGGATATAAAGTAAGCGGCTTAAAAGCAACTCGACTCAATTTTAAAACGATCGCCTTATAATCGTGTTAAGTTATAAATCAACAATTTTCAGTATTTTTCCAGGCATCGTCGCGCAAAGTTCCGGGAGTACTCAACAAGAATTTTAAGCGGCACAGCCTCGGCGTTTGCGAAATAAATCAGGTCGTCTTGTTGTTCGGTATTAGAGTTTAAAGTAAAGTTTGACGTCGGATGTGTGCTAAGGAAGCACGTTGTATGAGATCCAAAATACTGCCTAATTATCCCCGATAAGATACTTTAATTGGGGGCGGGGGGGGGAATGAATATTTTTCTTTTAAATTTTCATGTACCCAAGATAGAATTGCGAAATAAATGGGACTGCTGCATGCAAGAGGTACTCATTTAATTTTAATACATTATTATATTAAGGGATTTCCCAATTTTCCATCGTTAGTTTTTGCGATTTTACTGATAGACAAGCAGCGAATTCCAACTAAGTGTTGAGAGAGCGCGCCGGGAGAATAACATTAAGTTGTATGCTTTTGTTGTAGCGTGTCATATGCATGGCGCGCTTATAAGTCTATTCAATTGGCTGTATGATTATTTGCGTGCAACAGGCCTGTTGTGGTAGGAAAAATAATGACCTATTAGTCTTTTCGAGAAATGTACGAAAATTAAAGGAAATTTGACAATATCTGAACGCTCACAAGGCGGTTTTCCTTAGGAGGACAGAAACGTGTGGCTATAGCTTGAAATGACGTACACCTTCATTATTCATATGGGGACACCCTCACTTTGCACCACCAACTTGAGAGGAAATTAGCTTTTGAACTATTCTCTGTCTGCTGAAGCTCACATCGGCAAACACTTTTGAGCACTCTCACTTGTTTCATTCATAGAAGAATAATAAAATACACAATGTCTTTTTAAATAAATGCCCTTAACAGAGGTATTTTCTCCGACTTTGAAGTCTGTCACTACTTGAGCACAATGAGGATATAAATACATTCATTTTTTTGTTACAATAAGTGCGGATATTTTCATTTTGATGGCGTATTCACGAATCGTGCATTGTCAAAACTGTGCGGAAAAATCTTCTTTACGTCCTCAAAATTATTCCTAAAGTCGATAAAATACATTAGGACCAATAACCCCTTATTTAACGCGTATTGAAACACTAAAATCTGTGTGCGAGTATCTATTTCTGTGAATACGTTTATTTCGACTCGGAGGATTCTTTTTGTGCCGAATCACTCAGATGAAGGATTACTATGCACATACATATAGTAATTTAAAATCGAGGCCTGTGATACTCCTTCAATTTTTACCGAGTACGCAAAAACGGTTTTAGGACATTTCGTCAACGATTATTCGTCTGCGAACCAGTTTTTTCTGGTAGTTTACGCCCACGTGATACTGTGTAACATCCCTGTTGTGAAGTAGTTACTTGAAGCGCCGCGCCGCGCCGCGCCATGGCGGGCGAGGTCGATCAGCGTGACACGCGCATTAGCGCCTACAAACCTAACAGGGATACTTCACGCATTGCGCAATGCGTGAAGTCTCCATGTTAGGTTTGTAGGGGCCGGTGCGCGTGCCGCTCCACTCTACGTATGGCTCGAATTTTGAAACTCGCGGAGTCAACGTTTCTCAATTCATGATTTTGAAATGTTTGCACACTCTGCATGGATTATTCTAATTTAAATTGATGGAAAAAAATATGTATTAAAGGGAAATATAATGTGTGTTTTATAAATATTCAGGTAGTATCGTATCAAACTTTATGATCTCCTAAGAACGTTTATTTTTTCTTTGATATTTTTTGCTTTTACTGTGCTGCAGCGTGGTGCACGCGCAACCAAACTCTCAAAATTGGACTTATTTGACTATAAAAGATCGATGTAGAAGTGGGTTAAAACCAAAGATTGTGTGCTTCTTGGTTCTTCCCTGTTTTATTCATTTTTATATAGTTCGTTTATGTTATAGTCGTTTATGTTATATAGTTTTGAAACATCTGTTAGGTTTCGTTTTACCTGAATTTTATTTTAGAGATGAATCTAACTAATATGAACGGAGGATAACGCAGAGAGAACTAATAATATGAACTGATAAGTTTGTGCATAGGATAAGTTATGAGAGTTTTTTCCCGTTGCATCTCGCTGCTATCAAAGAAACAAGGCACAAAACTTTCACCCTTTGAAAACTCTTTCCGAGGTGCTAAATATGGATATCCTTTGATTGTTTTTCTTGAGCATGCACAACAATATTAATAAAAGACCAAGTTTCAAAGAGAAGACGAAATCTTCCGAAACTTATCTTCGATCTTCTGCAAATATCCTTTACTCCATACAACGCTTCTCTCTTCCAAATTTCGAAGGAAAGTTTTCTCAAGCCATCGAGAACTTACCGTTTCTATACGCACATCTATAAGAAAGGGACAAGAAAAGTTAGGCTGTCCTTACTCTCTTCTGCAAAGGGTATCTGGATTGGGTCAACAAGATTATTTTGAGGAAAGCGTGTGATCAATTATAATTATCAAAGCTCCTTATTATTTTG